AATCATAAGCATCATGTTCAAAATACATTGTTTTTTAAATGTTCTTATTAGGTGATACGTACGTAGACGTATCACCTTTTGATTTCGTCAAGATTTTTATTATTTATTTATTTATTATTATTCTTCCTCGAATTTGTTCGCAGGATATCTCAAGACTGAACGAAGCCATTGTTATGAATCTTTCAATGATGATAGATCTTAGTCTAACTTAGAACTGCGTGACTTTTCAAAGACTCAAAATCATCGTGACGTCATCCAGACGCCATTTTGTGAAAATCAACTAATGATCATATCTTTATAACGAATAATAATTTTTCATTCATATTTATCATGATTAAGATCAATATCCGTCCGGTCAAGTTGAGGTCAATAAACGTGCGTAAATGCGCGCGTGCGCGCTCGTCCGCGCGTTTACGCGCGCGCAAAAATTAAAAATGCTCTCAATCATCCCAAATTTTTTTTGCATACGTTTCAGGCCAAATGGAGCATTTGATAAAAAAATTACGCACACGCGCATGCGCGCGCGTTTTCGCGCGTACTGGCATTTTGCAACATAGAATCGCCGATTTTTTTTCTGTCATCATATTCGGTACATTTTTCCAAGCATTTTGATAATTTGTTCACCTTTTATTAACGCAATGAGCGTCCGTCAAAGTTGACAGCACGCGCGGATTTGCGTTTTCTTTATCCACAATACATGAGCAAAAACATGCCTATACAAAATTCTTTGTAACTCTTCAGAATAAATAGAAACTCCCAATATTTGTTCATATTTAGATAGATTATGAGTCGGAAATATGATTTCACGTCTCATTTGACCCTCAATTAACTAATGACGTCATCATAATAGCCTCCGAACTCAAAATTTCAATTTGCATATTATGACGTCAGCATATTTTTGGAAAATTGATTGTATCTCTGTAAATATTTATTGATTTTCTTCCAAATTTTGATATGTTCTAGCTGAGACAATTTTCTACAAATGCAGTGTACATAATTGTCCAGTTTGACTAAGGTATCATGGCGTATTTTTGCGATTAAAGGAGGCATGTCAATTTTTCACATTTTGCGTGTATTGTCTATGGGACATGACTATTTCTCAAAACTGCATTCTACATTTCCGTCTTTCGCGAGCAACATCTCCGTTTTTTTAACTTTGTTTTCCGTGAGCTTCGGATATGTTGTAGCTGAGACAATGAGCTATCACAAGTGTGCCCTTTATTTTTCGATTAGATGCCGGGATCATGCTCATATTTCACTTGCAAAGTAGGATTTCAGAATTCCATTTCCCGTTTACGTGTAATCGCTATGGGAGATGTTTTGGTATATCGGTAACGCACTTGACTTCCAACCTCGAGATCCCTGGTTCGAGTCCGGGGGTCTCCAACAATTTTTTTCCACTTTTTTTTCCTTTTGACCTTCACTGTACCATCTCCTTTGATTATTTAAACACGTAGATTCGCAAATAATGTCATAAATAACCCTTTTTACTTTATTATTACCCTATTTTCACTTAATCCACTACTTTTTGCGTATAATCCCTATGGGAGATGACTTTTTCTAAAATCTGGAGTCTACATTCCTGTCTTTTGCGAGCAATATCGCCGTTATTTCGGCTTGGATTTTGTTGATTTTTGAGTATGTTGTAGCTGAGACTATATGCTATCTAAATAAACCCTCATTTTTTCAATAAGATGTCATGATCGCGCTCATGATCATGATCATGATCATCATGATCATCATTATCATAATGATGATAATCATTTATCAATTACATTTTCATTTCTTTGAATGAGATAACAATCGTCAAAAGGTGTTCTTCATGATGTAAATTAGAGTCAAATGTGTAACTGGTTACTGCACAGGGTCAAAGGTCATATATTGTTTCAATCTATCTTCCCTAGATCCATGATGATCAAGGAGACACAATTTAATCTTGACATATGAATAGATCATAATGGGAGAAGCATTTTACAAAATAATATATCGTGTTATGCATTATTCGTTATGTAAACCATTATCATACGTATCACCTAATTCGTCTAAGTGACGAATTAAAGTCTAGTTCGTTTTATATTTGATTAATGGATTTGTAATGTTATCCATTCCCGTTTCAAGTTGAATAAATATTTCTATCTGTAGCTTAATTATATACTTAAACATTCTGATAAAGCTATGAACACACTCTGCAAAATAAACAATAGAGATATGTATGTTCCTGAACTTTGCAAACAATCCCACCCCCTCCCCCAATTGATATTTTTCTTACATTTCACGTTTTGGATTGATGGATTAATAGACTGAAATTAAGCAATGTAACCAATCATATACGTAATATTTTTGCTCAACTTTTTGATTCCTTGCCTTTTAAACAGATAGCGTCGCTTGTATTTCTGACCCGTGTCTAAATGATGGATTTTGCATCAATCTGATTGACGGCCCTACTTGCTTCTGCTTTTATGGATACAAGGGAGAGTTCTGTGAGATATGTAGGTTTTGTTAGTTTTAATTTTAAACAAACAGCAAAAAGAATAACACAATGTACTATGAGCCACTCAGATTCTTTACAAAATGGTATAACGAGAAATGGTAAGTAGACACACGCTGAATTGAGTTAATTTGGGTGTTGGTGCTTCTACTAGAATATTGTATATTAAATGCGTATGACTTAATATCTAATCCTACTTAACATTATAGGGACAGAGAAATGTAAAAAAAAAAAAAAAGGGGTGAAATGAGAATAGGAGGAGTTGACCAAACCATACAAACAAATGCTTTTGTGTTTGTCTTTAAGGGACAAATGAAACAAAAAGAAAGAAAAGAGAAAAGCGATGAAGATTAGAGAGATGGAAATGTAAAAGATGCCAGTCTGATGGGCTAAAGCTAAAGTAAACAAAAGGCTTAGTACGGTCCTTCGGGTTCGCACCACATGTCGGGTTGTTGGGTTACACGAACTGTTTTGAAAACTTGCCCCTATACCTATTTACGAAAAGTCGGTTAAACTGAATCCAAATTATCGCAATTTTATTCAAAGAAATTCCTCGGGATAAAGCTAACGTTCTTACATGTACATTTGTGAAACCATGCCCGAATCTTGGACAGTGAAGAAGTGTTCCTCTTTTTACGAAGTTGAGAATTCTTGTAGTTATTTATCTAAAGGTATCCGGTCGAAACGCGGGTTTTTGTAGATTTCCTGTCGGTCTTTTTTTTCCAGGAAATATCGGGGAATCTAGACATGAAACATTGGCGGTCACAAACGTTACACGTGACCCTTTGGGAATGAATTAGGAATTGATTTTTGACAGAAGTTCATGTATCACTCGAAAAAAAGATTGAAACGAAGTAAGCCTGAAGAAAATGGCTATATGCCCCATGGTAAAAACAAATGTCGGTACTTGCTGCCATTCTCTTGGTTTCAAGAACTCTCTGAAAAGGAAAAAGAAAGATCACGAGACTGAACTCAACTTCACCTGAGAATTAGGCCAAAGATTTAGATCAGAGAGCCCCAGAGCATGAGCATGCTCATAATTTAAAGACAGATCTTTTACATCATCTCTGTGAATACAAACTTACAATGAATGTGTAAAAGAGTTGTTTTAAATCAGGAAGTACAACGTGTTTAAACACATTTACCTAACTAAGTACCTACTCCCATAGAATATTTGTGAATAGTTCCGATTAGTTGATTTTTGATTGACATATTGTGAACAACTCTTTGCCCGGTTAATGTTTTCTGAAACTATGGGTACTTAATAATCGGTCAAATTACGCACAACCTTTTAATCATGGTGAAAGGCATGGATAATACATGTAGTGTTGGGTAATAGTTTTCCAATATCTGTAGCAATTTCGTTCTTCTTAATATCGGTCCCATTACTTTAATCTGCATTGTTTATGGTAGTGTTTAGTGTACATGTGATATTTGTTACTAACAGTTTGAATAATAGACGACAAGCTGAACCTGCATAGGGTGAAAAATCGGAAAGCTAATATAGGTTTATGTTGGAAATAGTGCAAAGGTAAGTACTAGATAGAACGAATGATTGTAAAATTTAATTGGGGAAAATATAACGACTGTTGATGTTGAGCCTCTTGCCATCTTGATGTCAGTAAAGAGTACAGTAAAGTACGGTTCATGAACTGTAATGAACGGTGCTCATAAAACAATATTCCAAACTTTAGTAGATTCCCATCTTAAAGTTATAACCTATTTTAAAGAGTCAATAGCATTCTGTCGAATGATACCTAATTCATGACTTTGCCTCCACGGATGAGTAAGCAGCAGCCTTTAAACAAATATCTTGTTAAAATTCTACCAAGTTTCGGCTAAAGTAATGAATAAGGGGCAATATTCCTTACGCGTTATTATTTAAGTCCGAAAACAATCGCTGACTCATCTTCATGGATTTTGTGAAGTTGAATAAAAAAAGCGACAATGTCAACTCAGACTCAAGAAACAACTCATTTACAAGCAAAATGAATGATATTCTGTTAAAACGATGTAATCCTGGCTTCTCTCGCAGTCCTTGTTTAAGGTCAGCTTTGCCATTAAGTCATTCAAAATGATAATAATTTATTTAAAATTTTCATAAAATCCAATTGTCAATATCTTTGGTATTTCTGAAATTCTGTTCATTGTGGCATTTACTAAATCTTTTAAGTTAGTAAACCTCTGGTTTTCATATTCATATTCGAGAAAATCTCCTTATTCACCGTAAGAAATTAAGCAGAGAAAGGGTTAATTATGTCGCACATAATAATTGGTGTATCCTGTGAGGTTTTAAAACTATCAACATGATGAGAAATTTCCTTTGTCCTGCTGACAGTCACACGCCCCGTACATTTTTTTGTAGGAAATTCTTTCACAGTAATCTGCCTACCGTAAAAGAATGAGAAAGCTCACAAATTAGTTCTCCCCTTTTCACAGCACTTAACCTGCTCCTTTAGGAACACATACATGATTTCTTTTTCTTTTTTTAATGTTTTCTTTTTGAGTATAGATATTGATGAGTGTGAGAGTGACCTTTGTCAGAACGGTGGAATGTGCAGGAACTTGGAGAATTCCTTCGAATGCGTTTGTGTCATTGGTTTTATTGGTGTCTACTGTGAGATTGGTAAGAACAATAAACTAAACTATACTAAATCACCCGTTTTTATGTTGAAGAACAAAGAAGAAGAAAGAATTAAAGTACGTCGATTGTCGAATAGACTTGTTTTGGAAAGTTTATATACATATTGTATACAATTCGGTCCATACATATCGGTTTATTTCCACTTATTGTCATAAAATGAAATAGGACCGGGGGGGGGGGGGATTCAATGAATTTTAAAGAATGTATTGCATTTTATTTTATTTTATTTTTATTTGTGGGAACTGCCCCCTACCCTAGCCCCCGATGCGTACAGTCATGGTTTAGTGACAAAGCAATGGCCTCGTAACTGTGAGGCCCCGGGATCAAAACCGTGTCGATGTGCTATATTAGTGCTCTTTTGTGGGGCATTAATCCTCATTACTGTCATTTATGACTTAATGACGTAGGTCCCCTAGTTGATAAGCATATTAGCATACACATGCTTTAGCAGTCACACAAAACAAACACTGGCAAATTATTATTCAATAAAATCTGAGAATGTATACTATTATCTAGATCTATTAGGAGTAAATCATTGTCAAAATAATTCCATAAATTGGGGTTAAAAAAAAATATTCCCACGTTATAAGTGACTGTCACAGTGTATATGTTTAATCTTGTCATTAGCTATTGGAGATTGCGAAGGTTACCCCTGTGTTCACGGTTTTTGTAGAGGCGACGGCTTCTGTCAATGTGATCCTGAGTATATGGGAGATTTCTGTTTAATCAGTAAGCATATTTGTCATTTAATTTTATTTTATTTAAATTTATTGCATTTGTAAATTGGATGCTTTATGCTTTTAATATGGGAGATTTGGTCTTTTACAAAATTCCACTTTCCAAGCCTATGAACAAGCTCATCTCGTAATCAATATTTGGAAACAGTAAAAATTATTGTGGTGACTGTTGTTCTGTTCAACCCTGTTACCATTTAATTAATGTCAGGATTAGGCGAACAAACAAAATTACACGGCGTTTATAAAGTTAAAGCACTGATTATTGGTTATACGATTATGTATAATAAGAATAACGAGTAGAAGGAGCGGTAATTGGTCGATCACCTAATAAAACAGAGTCAATGAGAAATTCAGACTTTGAAGAAGAAGAAAAAACAGCCTCCATCCATAACACGCACAAGAAGAAACCATAATGGCAGATTTGGCACTATTCACCTTAAATCATAATTCTGACAACGATCCCGTCTTCTGATCAAAAATTAAATCGTGGTACATGTGTAGAGTAAAGTCTCAGCTAAATCATGATAAATATGGGAGACATCACAGACGAGATAGACGAGATATATTTAAAACAACAACCGCAAATATTACCTAATCGAATGAAATTCAATTGCTTTTTTGAGTAGCACTTTGTTGACGTCAAAGACGTCTGACAGTAATTTGAGCTTCTGTTATTTACCGAATTACGATCATACGGAGTTATGAGTAACGCATCCTTCGAAATTACTTCCGATCCTTTGGATATATGAACCTTTGAAAGGCAACAAGTAACCAGATTTCACTATTCCATTAATTAGAACGCACATGTTCGAACGTCACGATGGAAACTGAATTCGGACAGGCCAGACTTCCGATGACTGAAGTTGGAATCGTAATCGACTCGGAAGAACTGTGCCCAGAGGAAGTTTCTAAAGGTAGGGTAATGTGTAGTTGCAGGTTTTCAAAATTTCCAGGGGGAGGGCGGGGTAGGGCGGCTATTTTAATGGACTTTTCGTATATTATTTGTTTTCTTCAAAAACGTATGGTAATAGAATACTGAAAACTATTCCTAGACTTGTTTAATCTGACAATAATAGGTACACTGTTCCAAAATTCACTGACCACAAAATACAATAAAAGTTCTGGAAGACTTAACTGTGTACCTTCTTTTCTTTTTTCTTGTGGAGTAGTGAAGTAGCTATGCACTATAATGTCACAGTAGTCTTTAATAGATATGAGGAAATTGTTATTAAACAGATCAAATGTGAACGTATACATAAATAGTCATGTCAATTATACACATTTAGGATTCGCGATCTTTTAAATAGTTCTCGAGTAACTAAATGTTATGCACAAACTTCCATTTTCGGTGAATACAATACACTTCTGATATGCTAGCCTTATAGGTGCTTCCTCACACCTCTATTATGTAAGTGATATGTGGTTGTATAACAAAATTTCGCAATCTGAATAACACGTGAACTTTCTTTGTAGTACACTGTTTTACATAACCAATTTGCTTACTCCCAGACAGATGGGATGATAGGCAACGAACCATTTATTGAAGTACGAGCTGTACAAGTACATGACCATTTTTCCTGTACATTTCTATTATAGGAATATGATGCATACGCCCTTAAACATAAACGTATTTCATTCCCCTTAATTGCTGTACAAATTAAAATTAGTTTACTCCTGTCAAATAAAAAAATGTACACACATGTATTATTGATATTGACTTTAATCTGCAATCGACTTTAGGCTGTTTTAGGTTACAGAGAAATAAAATTAACCAATAGCCAGGGGCGGATCCAGTAATTTATTCCCGGGGGGGGGGGGGCACATGGTGTGGGGGGGGGGGAACACGGGGGGTAAGAGGACATATATATATGTATGTTTTTGGTCCCCAAAAAAATCGTAACGACTAAGCCAGCCGCTGAACAACCAAGGGGGGGGGGGGGGTGTGAGCACTTTTTTTTTTTTTTTTTTGGCTCCCAAAAATTTGAAAATCGCGCAATAGGGGGGGGGGGTGTGGTGCGCACTAATTTTGTTTGTTTTTTGTTTTGGGCCGGGGGGCACGTGCCCCCTGTGCCCCCTTGGATCTGTCCCTGATAGCAGTTCAGAGGTGCAAATGAATCAGCTTTCACTCTTCCAATTGGCACTGACCATTCGTGCTTTCCACTGTTTCACTTTTAAAATAAACATAGAATAAAGCAGTGTGAATGAAAACCTTTACCAAAGAAAAAAAATCATAAGGAAAATGAACACTTAACTTGTACACAAGAATAGAATTTCACTGCGCGTTCCAAAATTGGAAACGCCAATGCGTTTCTTTTTCGTTTAAATCACTTTTATGTATGAACTACACAGTGTACTGCGCAAAAGTGGACTCAAAATTTCAGCGACATTTGTACTTTTTCTATCGAGCCTAAACTGCGTTGGGTTCAAGAATCAGTCGATAGTACCGAAACAGAGAAACAGTATATTACTAAATGGATTTTAGGTTAATTTTTAGGTTGGACGGCGGGGGATTTCATTTGATGATAAAAAATATAAACAAAATAGGGGCATTTAAAATTACCTTTTTAGTGTTAATTTCCCGACACATTTCCTACACAACGCATCATTTGCTGGTCTGATTTTGGTATCTAATTTATTATGTTACCATTTTTCAACGAGGAAAAACACGAATTTCATGCTGTATCAGCATGATCATTAGCAAAGATAGCAAAACGTATTCAAATGATGTTTGATACTTTCTTTTTCCTTTTTGTTGTTGTTATATAACGTTCTCTTCTTTTAGGCCCTGCGGCATCAATTATTAGAGCTGTTTGCCATGTTTCTAGTAACGGCACAACTTATTGGAACACCAGTATAAGATGTCAAGATGATATCACTCGACAATTAATGGAAATATTGATGGCAAGTTTCACCATGTTTACTTAAGTTGCTCTTTCAGATATGAAGAGGTATTTAGACCGCGGCGGTTTGTATTAACATGTGAATGAACGGCAACTACGCGCAACATAGGTTCTATGGCTTTCTCAGTTCTTCGCGACTTAGGGTAACACGAATTTTCGTGACTAATCTAGCCCTAACTTTAGAATGGTCTGGTTTGTGAAGAAAACAACACGTGTCCTTGTCTAGTTTAACCGTAACTTTTTGAAAAGCCTATACAGCAAATCCACGTGAACTAACGTATCGACCCGACATTTGTTTAAATACGAGATAAATAATCGAAAGAGAGTTCGTAAGAAGGCCAGCGACGAAATTATCATTGTATTGGCATGTTTTTTCACCAAAAAAATGTACATGTATGAAGATTAGCCTTATCTCTAGAACAATCTTTGAAAACATTATGGTTATTTTTATTCCTGAATCTACCCGACCTTTTGTGAATCAGTAAAGGGGCATGTTTTGTTTACACAATAGTGCTGCACGATTGAAGCTCCAGACCTTTCGTGAATATAGCGGTACGTTTATACAAAATGGCGTGTAACCCGACAAGCCAACACGCCAAGATCCGATGGAACAAAATACGCGTATTTAACTTTACGTCATTCTTAAAAGAAAGAAACAAACGCCGCTGGTTACCGCCTCATATACATGTACATGTATAAATGAAGTTTAAGAAGTATACAGGTGTAGTTTAAGGGGGCAAATAATAATCATGATACAAAAATGATGATGTGATCGTCTTTCATCCGCTATTATGTTGTCAATATCTTGAATGTAAAATGAATAGTACAATTGGTATACAAATCTATTAATTCCGTTACAAAATATTCAATCCAATTAAAGCTTACTAGATGTTTTTTCTTCCTTATTAGCTCTGTATTTCTTAGTCGCAACTCATCAATTACTCAGTTGTTCTTCATACCCATCCCCTGCTTAACAAATCGTATGTCCCTATTTTTCATGAAAGAATGTTGGAATTTCTAATCTCAAAATGTTTATGGTCGGATGGCGAACCTTCGCAACTACTCCCGTCCTGGGTGAATATTAACCACCATTTTGCAGTATTTAATTCATCTTTTTTGTTTCCAGGGAACAACAGATTTGTTCGTAAGAACATGCCTCCTATATGGGCTACCCAAAACTAAGAAAAAATAATCGTGGTTTGGGAGTAAGAATCCAACCTCCTCTAACACTCAGCCCTCCTGTACTTTAGTGTTATATCCACTGTTTTCTTTAAAATTAAACACTTGTTTTATGGTTTTATATATACATGATATAGGCAAGAGGAACTTCTACGTGCAACTAGTCCAACTTGTTTTTATCATTCAAACTTTAATTTGCGGATTCACAGGGTTGTAGGAAACTTCGATTATGTCACCAACTATGCCCCCCTCCCCCAGGAAGTGACTTACGCATTCTATCCTTTGATTCTATTTCAATCGTGGGAGCATTTATATATCATAAGTAAAAAAATAAACTAGTGGGATATCATCCATGCTCATTCGTCAGCCCTACCCAGCCAGCGGTCTAGAATGACAAGACTTAGCATGAATGGCAACATTTGGTCTAGACCCCGCCCCGCCCTTCCCTCTAAAAATCTTCTTGCAACGCCACTGCAAGTCAATTTCGAGGCCTTCAAAAGTAAAAGTTCATCTTTACCTAATTGTATTATGCAATCTAAGAATTTATGTGTTTTTAGTAAAGATTACAAACGAATAATATGTGTGTCTCTTTGCACATAAAGATCGGGATATATGATGTTAGTGTTGCTGAAGAAGTTTTCACAATAACCCAGAACTATGATGACATTACCGCGATCGACATCGGCTTGCTGTATGAGATCCTGCAGTTCTTAGCTGACCTGAACTCTGATGCAAATGTGAGTTAATGAGTCATTTCCCTTTCTTTCACGTACCTTATCTTTTAGAACAAAATCATTTTAAGTAGAGACAAAACGAGAAAAAAAGGAGAAAATTAGCATGTTCAAGCACATTTGTATTGCTAAGTAGGGGAGAGAAAATTATGTAATGTAAGATGAATGATAAATTGGTAGAGTCGAAATGGCACAGTGGTATAAACAGTGGTTTCTTAATCGGGAGGTCCGGGGTTAAAAACCAAGACGATGTGCTGGAGCCAATTGATTGATAAGGCATTATTAAATCATCATTACCAAGTCCCTGGTTGGTTACTTACAAGCATACAGATCCTTAGTATCAGTCAGGTTGAACAAATTCTATCAAACCTAACTTATAGTTAAGGGTCTAAAATAAGAAGCTTAATGTATTTTCAAAACCCTGCACATTTGTGTGTCCTATTACGGCTTGCGATTTTTTGGCGTGTCTCGTTTGTAATGAACGTCTACTCTCTTTGGTTGTGCAATGATTTTTACGATATTGACCTTGTCTTTCATAGGTAACCGGTCTCATAGTGGGAATAGTAAATAACGTGATGTTTGTCGAAGAGGAGGTACTAGCATCTGCCCAAAAGAATGATAATTATACGGCCCTCATCATCCAGGTCTTGGAATTTCAGTTGAATACCGTCGATGTTGGCAACGGCACGCTTGACAGAGCTTATCCTAACATAGCAGTTCAGGTAAACTAGACTTTAACTCTCACAAATATGTACATTCTTGCTGCCCACGTATACTGTTGTGTGAAAGTTTTTAGATGCTTGCATTTTTAAATATGAGTTGTGCAATTATCTTCCTTCTCTAATCAGACGTGCTCAGTTGTAACCTGTTTAGTTGACTGTTTTGCAGAAAGCGTGCCAGCCGAATCGAAAACAGGAATTTGTTTGTTTAAAAAAAGGCAAGAATAACCCCAAAAGGGGTCATATTTCCAAACGCGTGAATGTGGGTTTATTTAGATTTTGTGAAAATATGGTGTATCGTTGTGAATGTGCACTCGATGTTTAAAGCAAAAATATCGCATATTTAGATAATTCCATATTTATAACTGCATACACTTACCTGTAGGTGCTTGACATACCTTCGGACACTGCTAGAGACGGCATAGTGATCACCATGTTAAGTATGGACACCGGTTCTTTGAGCAACAGTGACATCATGGTAGAAACACACCAAGACACACCTACTGACTCTGTCCCAAGAGACACCTTTGCCAGGGTTGTTGTACCCATCGAGGTGGCCCAAGTTTTCACTAATCCAGAGGTCATGGAAGGTCCATCAAGTTCTAATAACACTACCAATGGAGACAGCCTCGGCACAACCACCGCTTCAGTAGTGTCCAGTGATCCTGGGGAAACGATGGGTGTGAGCGCTATCGACTCTCTCAGGGTTGCTTTCGTTGTGTATATCAATGATGCCATCTTTCCTTCACCAAGTCTTGCTCTACTCAACCGGGAGACACAGGAGTTCAAACGTGAGATTAATACTCCAGTGGTGTCCATAACAATCGGCGGACAGAAGATAGAGAATCTCATGGAGCGTGTCAATATCACTTTCTATAGATTCGAGGTAAGCATGGTTATGCCTAGGTCACATATAAACCGGGCCCGTACGATTTTCGCTACCCGGCGGCTCGCCGTGGATTTAGAGACCTTACGGGAACCTTCCGATTTTCATTTCTACGGCATGTGTGGTCACATATTTTTCGGTGCCCGGTGAAAATTGGTCGAGTGAAATGCAAGGCGCCCGTAAGGGTGCCGGCATGGTGCCGGCCGATAAGCTTACAGGCTCCGTCCGATGAGCAGTGTGTACCTATGGCTCCCGGAAGGTGCCCTGTCGGGGCCCGGTTGGGGTCATCAAGGCACCCGGACGGGTGCCGTACGGTGCACTAAACTATGTGTCCACTCATCCGCACCTCCTGTATTTAAATAAGCGTTGTACATTTTGAGATGCCGCCGTGAGGGGCCCGCACGGGCAATATTCATTTCAAAAGGCCGCCGGACGGCACATATTGCTCCGGTTGTCCCATTTTCGCCAGCACAAACGTAGCTAGTTCGCCGTCTATAGAACGTATATAGCAGACGGCAATCGGCGGATCAGATGACACTTGATAGTGATTTTTTAATGTGAGATCGCTTTGCTAAATATAACATACAAGAACGTTTTCCATATCTTTAAACTATCATTGATATCTGATAATAAAACAGTTAATAAAATAAACCTACCAAACTACAATAAAATACTTGACTAAAAGTAGGGGAGTTTGATGTGGTGCACAATTTACCCCTCTGTTAATAATCGAATAGTCCATGGTGTGTCATGAATATTCATGTTTTTGCTTACCTCGGCAAAATGTTTGCCTATACTAAATGGACAATTACGGTGGGGGGGGGGGGGGGGGGAGGGCTGGCTGAAGTGGACATGATGAACCAAGCAGAACTGATCTATGAAAATTCATGCTTCTTATCATTCTTGTGCTTGACCTTTAATCTTACAATCGCGTGTTAAATTGCGTTCAAAGTTCGACTTGTTACATATGCGTTATATATGCAATGGCGAGCTTGCGACCTATTTTGATTACGGTTGGTGAACTTTCAAAAGTCAATGGGACACGAAGGTACCAATGAAAGAGCTAGTGTCAACGTACGTCGGGGTTGATGTGCTTTTCGTTTAAACAAAAATTGAATTTTTAACGATTTGGGGGGTAAAAGTCCATAGCCTAACATGTTTATAGGCTGCTGGACTCTGACGATAGGGGGCGTTTTCAGATGAGACTAAACGGAGCTACATGGACGCCCGGTGTTGTACATATCACCGGGGCTCTTGAGGGGCCGTGAGGGAGCCGTAGGGTACACGTACGGCACCCTTGAGCACCGCAATGCGCCCGTAAAGATTTGTCATGAGAATTTACCCAACAAAATTGTGAGGGGCCCGTCCAGAGCCCGCACGGTATCCGTAAGGAGCCCTTTACGGTCAGATAAAATCGCCGGAAGAATCGGGAGTAGCCAACTCCACTGCGCCCGTACGGCTTACAAAAATGTCCCGGCGCCCGTAGGAACTTTTCGGCAGCAGGCCGAAAATTCCCAAAATGTCTGTTTTTACTCGCCGTAGGGGCCCCGGAGTGTATACGAAAGCTCCATAATGAGCTAATTAATTAGGCGAAAAGAAATATTTGAATACTAACCTTGCTTACTAAAATACTCAAGTCATTTATTAAAACATAATCTTACCTTAATACTAAGTGAATACTTAGCCAATGAATTGAATATCAATTTAGGCTAAGCAATTTACTAAAGCCAAATTCTAAGTAAAAGGCTTACATTTTGTAATTAAGTATGGAATTGAATACGGGACCAGATGCTAAACATTTAAAAGGTCTATATACAGTATAATTATTGATTATACTTGTACTATACATGTCGTAAACAGGCATGTGCTAAGTTCTGTTGCCAGTGGTTGTGGGCCGCATGTCTCTAACATCTTACATATATATTTTGTCAAATAATTTACTGATTTCAGCCCGACTCACTTGATCCTACTTGTAACTTCTGGGAGTTTAATCTCGGTAAATGGTCTATGGAGGGATGTCAGCTGTTACCTGATAACGCCATCAATAGCTTTAGTAATGAATACTACACATGCGCCTGCGACCACCTGACCAACTTTGCCGTGTTAGTGGTACGTGATTCCTTCCACATGTTTGAAATGTCGCCTTTTCTTCTTCTCAAACTGAATGAGTAGTGTGTAAATGTAGTCATATTCAACTAAACAACTAAGTAAACATGAGACTGATGTGGAATTCAATGAAGAGACATACATGGGTAGTGAACGAATTGAATATTTTAGTGACAGGTATACATTGCTTGCCCGAAGTTCTAAAGTTAATCACATAATAAGAAAGAAGGGATTGTCTCCATCACAATGTTCACAATTAGAATAGATACAATTGAATGGCGTTCCGCGCTTTAAAACAATACAAGGTTTCACCCGTTACTTGTAAACCTGTTATCAATGAGTAATATTCATAATGTATACAGATTTATTAATTTTTTACTGTACTAAATCTTATTTCATTTCTCCTACACACGTGTTACACTGAAGGACATATATGCAGAGGACAAATCTCCGAAACCTGCACTCCGTATATTGAGTATTATTGGGTGTGCTATATCATGTGTGTGTCTGGTCATCGCTATCATGTCCTATCTTAGTGTCAAGTAAGTCAAATTGTTTGTGGTTGTTGTTTTCTACCAGCCCTCCCCCTTCCCCCAATACAATTATATAAAAGATATATTCAGTCTAAATCAATGAATTTATACAGAAACAACTCAATATGATCAAGATAATGTACAAAAGCAATTGAAAAAGATAGAGTTTATAGTGAATCTCAGAACAGAATGAGTGCTGTCTATCAGTAAAACGATCGCAAAGACATTCGAAAAATTATGTCAATGGTATTTTAACCCTAAAAAGGCCGGGCTATTTGAGGCCTTAGTACGGTCGGGGGGGGGGGGCATTATGCCCCCCGTAAGATCTCGGCCGTGAATTGGCCGATCTCAGCGAAAATTTGCACGCATGTCAAGTGAAGTGTATAGAATAATATGATATTTCAATTTTTTTGAAAATGCACTTATTTGCATATTTATGGTGATTAATGCAAATAAGGTCATAAAATCACATTTTTACCCATAAATCATATACTATTCCTATTTAACCATTCCTTTTTACTACATATATTCATTAGACTATCTTGAATAAAAATACGACAACAAAATTTGGAAGAGCCAGCTTATTCCTTATGTTAACTCATGTTTTTATAATTTCTTATGTATTTCATTGTTTTTTAAACTTATGTATTTTATTGTTTTTATTGTTTTATTTCATTTTTTACTACAATTCAACTATTTTGACTCCCAAAACAACCACCTAAACTTTAAACAAGACCCGAGAACCAATTTTGAGGAAAAATGATATTTCCATATGTTGTGTAAATAATTCACAAAAATTAGCGATTTTCGGGCAGACAAGCAAAGAAAAAAGGTCACGTGACCTTGTAACTGTAGGTCCGATTTCATTTTTTTTTTAAAGATGCGCAAGACTCGAAAGAAAATAAGTCAGCGAGCGGCGGGGCGCCATCCATATGCGTTCCCGAGCAATCGGAAAAATCATGGAGGGGGGGGGCATAATGGCCCCCCGGCCTTATTAGGGTTAAGGCCTATATGCTGGCTTATATTCCACATAATTAATAATTGTTCTGATTATTTTATACGTCATTGTGATGTTCGCATATCACAATATATGATGGTACAGGCAATTAAAGGGCAATCCAGTTTTGATACGTACGAAAGCAGACAAAATAAAATAATAAAAATGGAGAAAGTTTGAATAAACATGACCAATAATAAAGAAGTTATGAATGTAGTGAAATATCATGTCACAAAATATAGGCGAATCTCAGATTGTCAATTGGGTAAGTAGAATTTGTCGTGTACACATACATTATTAATTTCTGTTTTGCTCTTACATGTAGCAAGGGCCTTCTCCCTCGAGGCACTACTCAAAATATACTATGGATAGCATAACATCATAGGTCCTCTAAGAGGAAAGGACCCTCCTGAGTCATGCATTTTGAAGAAAAAAAAGTGATAATTTTGTTATTATGTGTATATAAATTTTTTTTTTAAAATTTAAAAAAAAAAAAAAAAAAAAAAAATCGAATTTGTCGTCACCGTGACATTACAGATTAAGCCAATATAAACCAATTTTACATCATGTACATTGAGTGATTAGAAATTACAAACATTCATATTTGTATTTATTTCTTTTCTTTATTTCTTTTGTTTTTTTTCAAATTATTGTTGTAATGAGGTCTGCTTCTGGTGTGTCTCTCAAAAGCTTTGGAATAACTCACCACTAGACATGAAAAAAAAGCCCCGTCTGTGGCCGTTTTCAAAGTTTTGTTTGAGACACTCCTGTTCTAAGAAGCCTTTCGAATAAGTTTTGGCTGTTTTTTTGTTAACCACACTGCAAGTCAGTATTACATTAACTGCGCTATATCGTATTATTGATGTTATCACTAATGGTTGTTTTTAATATCATGAACATTTTCTAGAGACTTTTCGTTTTGCGATAAAATAGACAGGGCTACATTATGTTGTATACAGGTCACATTGCACGGAACTGCCCTTGTTAGTACAATCCATTTCTTGGTAGGAAAAACAACAACTAGCCAGACAAAACTTACATACGATAATATCTTTCATCAACAGGAAGATACGAAGATCTCAGACTCACAAGATTTTCATCTGTCTTTGCACCACCCTGCTCTGTTTGTACACCGTCTCCCTCGCCATCATCGCTCTCGACACGGAGTTCCAGCATGCCGAGGTCGGGTTGATACCGTGTTCCGTCCTGGCGGCACTCGTCCACTACTTCGTGCTCTCTTCGATTATGTGGATGGGCATCGAGGGGTTTAACACTTATCTGGTCATCGTACAAGTGTTTAATACTTACATCCCGAATTTCATGATCAGAGCTTCGATTGTAGGATGGGGTGAGAACTATTGATTTTTCTTGATAATACAACAAATACACTTCTACTGCGTGCTATTAAACAAAACAGTGACAAGAGACGTGACATCTATTAGTGCCTAGTTGACACTGAGGGTCACCACAGACTTTTCAAGAACAGACATAGGTTGTTTTAACACTTGATTCCTGTATTCGTCGGGTCGTCGGGTCTACGGATCTACTGTTGAGTTGTGGTTAAATCCACTACCACACCGGACTAGTTCTCAATACGTCTTGGGAAATGTTGCCAACGTGGCTCAAACTGTGTGCGAACGGAGTTGAACGTAGTAGCAACTGTTTACGATCTGTTTAAGAACTTCATGGATGAGCTCAGGCTATACGGGAGAGTGCTCTAGAACTTTGAGCCTGTTTAAAATTGTCCCCGTCCTGCAATTAGACGGAGTGACAACGTAGTTAAAACGAGGAGGACGTACTACAAACTGACTGATTGCCGTACTTTGAACGGAATTGCCGTACTTCAATTCGACTTGGAACGTTTTAAAACGTGCTGTGGTCGAGCATTAATTAGCAGCAGCTAAGCCCCATCACACCAAACTAGTTCTCACTACGTTCCGGAACGTCCTAGAAAATCGTTAAAAAAATGGGTAATGGTCGGGGTAAAATGTGTAAATAATGTTTATAATTCGATCATAGATCGTTTATGAACAGTCCTCAATATGTCCATCTCGTCTGTACCCCGTTTACAGTCAGTTCACATCAGGTTTAAATCGGGTAAGTTTGCCATTTCCAAGCAGTCAAAGCCGTAATCAATTTAAACCAGTTCTTAACTCGTTCTACCTCGTTCCCAATACGTCCAAACCATTCTAACTAGTTCGTAACACGTTCATAGTAGGACCGGAGTGCGGCAATTCCGTTCATAGTATGTCCATCTCGTTTTAAGTTCGTTGCCAGTCCGTCTTATTGCAGGACGGGGACAATTTCGACAGGCTCAAAATTTTTGGGGCACCCTTCCCGTCCAAGCCAGTCAGAGCCTGTCAATAGAGTTCTTAAACAGATCGTAAACAGTTGCTTCTACGTTCACTCTGTTCGCGCACAGTTTGAGCACGTTTGGCAACATTTTACAGAACGTAGTGATAACTAGTTTGGTGTGATGGGGGCTTCACTTGACAGTCTTGATTTGCAAAGCTTGAATCGTTAAAGTTGAACGGGAATAAGGAATGGCAACAACGCACTGGGGTTTTATAACCCTTGAGCCAGGACGTGCTTCCACACGCTTTAGAAGCGCGTTCGAACGCACTAAGGACTAAGGACGAGCTGAACTGCTTCCGAACTTGTTAGAATGGATTCGGTCGTATTCGGAACGAGTTAGAACTAGTTAATAACGGGTATAAACTGACTACGAAATGGCTTGAACTGCCTGAAAATGGCATATTTACCTGATCTGACTGTACAGACGAGATGGACGTATTGAGGACTGTTTATGATCGAAACAGGGTCGTAATATAGACATAATTAAAAAATTCCACTCCGATTAAAACCCGTTTACGATTTTCTAGGACGGTTCCAAAACGTAGTTTGGTGTGATGGGGGCTTAATTAATAGACGTCGAGGACTCTTAACCCTACACAGCTGTAAACCATACCCGCACCCCCTCCCACCCAACTGCCACACCCATGAATAATCAGGACCACCTTGTGTGGACCGGAGAACGCTTTGGGCAACTTTCAGTCTTTGTTCATTTTTTGTTTATTTATTTATTTTATTTGTTAAATTATTAATTCATTTTATATTTCATTGTTTCATTATTCTTGTATTCTTTTATTGTGTTGGTTTATTAATTACTCATGTATTTATTTATTATTTACTCCAAAGTGAAAAGAGTCGGGGTAAAATGTGTAAATAATGTTTATAATTCGATCATAGATCGTTAATATGAACAGTCCTCAATACGTCCATCTCGTCTGTACCCCGTTTACAGTCAGTTCACATCAGGTTCAAATCGGGTAAATTTGCCATTTCCAAGCAGTCAAAGCCGTAATCAATTTAAACCAGTTCTTAACTCGTTCTACCTCGTTCCCAATACCTCCAAACCATTCTAACTAGTTCGTAACACGTTCATAGTAGGACCGGAGTGCGGCAATTCCGTTCATAGTATGTCCATCTCGTTTTAAGTTCGTTGCCAGTCCGTCTTATTGCAGGACGGGGACAATTTCGACAGGCTCAAAATTTTTGGGGCACCCTTCCCGTCCAAGCCAGTCAGAGCCTGTCAATAGAGTTCTTAAACAGATCGTAAACAGTTGCTTCTACGTTCACTCTGTTCGCGCACAGTTTGAGCACGTTTGGCAACATTTTACAGAACGTAGTGATAACTAGTTTGGTGTGATGGGGGCTTCACTTGACAGTCTTGATTTGCAAAGCTTGAATCGTTAAAGTTGAACGGGAATAAGGAATGGCAACAACGCACTGGGGTTTTATAACCCTTGAGCCAGGACGTGCTTCCACACGCTTTAGAAGCGCGTTCGAACGCACTAAGGACTAAGGACGAGCTGAACTGCTTCCGAACTTGTTAGAATGGATTCGGTCGTATTCGGAACGAGTTAGAACTAGTTAATAACGGGTATAAACTGACTACGAAATGGCTTGAACTGCCTGAAAATGGCATATTTACCTGATCTGACTGTACAGACGAGATGGACGTATTGAGGACTGTTTATGATCGAAACAGGGTCGTAATATAGACATAATTAAAAAATTCCACTCCGATTAAAACCCGTTTACGATTTTCTAGGACGGTTCCAAAACGTAGTTTGGTGTGATGGGGGCTTAATTAATAGACGTCGAGGACTCTTAACCCTACACAGCTGTAAACCATACCCGCACCCCCTCCCACCCAACTGCCACACCCATGAATAATCAGGACCACCTTGTGTGGACCGGAGAACGCTTTGGGCAACTTTCAGTCTTTGTTCATTTTTTGTTTATTTATTTATTTTATTTGTTAAATTATTAATTCATTTTATATTTCATTGTTTCATTATTCTTGTATTCTTTTATTGTGTTGGTTTATTAATTACTCATGTATTTATTTATTATTTACTCCAAAGTGAAAAGAGTCGGGGTAAAATGTGTAAATAATGTTTATAATTCGATCATAGATCGTTAATATGAACAGTCCTCAATACGTCCATCTCGTCTGTACCCCGTTTACAGTCAGTTCACATCAGGTTCAAATCGGGTAAATTTGCCATTTCCAAGCAGTCAAAGCCGTAATCAATTTAAACCAGTTCTTAACTCGTTCTACCTCGTTCCCAATACGTCCAAACCATTCTAACTAGTTCGTAACACGTTCATAGTAGGACCGGAGTGCGGCAATTCCGTTCATAGTATGTCCATCTCGTTTTAAGTTCGTTGCCAGTCCGTCTTATTGCAGGACGGGGACAATTTCGACAGGCTCAAAATTTTTGGGGCACCCTTCCCGTCCAAGCCAGTCAGAGCCTGTCAATAGAGTTCTTAAACAGATCGTAAACAGTTGCTTCTACGTTCACTCTGTTCGCGCACAGTTTGAGCACGTTTGGCAACATTTTACAGAACGTAGTGATAACTAGTTTGGTGTGATGGGGGCTTCACTTGACAGTCTTGATTTGCAAAGCTTGAATCGTTAAAGTTGAACGGGAATAAGGAATGGCAACAACGCACTGGGGTTTTATAACCCTTGAGCCAGGACGTGCTTCCACACGCTTTAGAAGCGCGTTCGAACGCACTAAGGACTAAGGACGAGCTGAACTGCTTCCGAACTTGTTAGAATGGATTCGGTCGTATTCGGAACGAGTTAGAACTAGTTAATAACGGGTATAAACTGACTACGAAATGGCTTGAACTGCCTGAAAATGGCATATATACCTGATCTGACTGTACAGACGAGATGGACGTATTGAGGACTGTTTATGATCGAAACAGGGTCGTAATATAGACATAATTAAAAAATTCCACTCCGATTAAAACCCGTTTTACGATTTTCTAGGACGGTTCCAAAACGTAGTTTGGTGTGATGGGGGCTTAATTAATAGACGTCGAGGACTCTTAACCCTACACAGCTGTAAACCATACCCGCACCCCCTCCCACCCAACTGCCACACCCATGAATAATCAGGACCACCTTGTGTGGACCGGAGAACGCTTTGGGCAACTTTCAGTCTTTGTTCACTTTTTGTTTATTTATTTATTTTATTTGTTAAATTATTAATTCATTTTATATTTCATCGTTTCATTATTCTTGTATTCTTTTATTGTGTTGGTTTATTAATTACTCATGTATTTATTTATTATTTACTCCAAAGTGAAAAGAGTAATAGAGTATAACGGGGACATAATAATTTTTTACTAATAATTTTGTTTTCATTTTCTTTTCAAACTCAGGTATCCCAGCTGTGATTGTTGTTGCAACTGGGGGGATCACTATAAAGTATTATGCCGTCGAAGATTAGTAAGTTGATCCACACTTGTACATGAGGAATCTTGCAAAAAATATTATAATTGTGTTTATCTATGTATCGAAGTTCGAACAGACCTACTGTTCGAGAATATCAGTGGAATGGCTCTTATACAGCTCTGGTATAGAGGAAACAACGAAAGCGCTTCAGCTTTACAATCATGAATTGGGTACTGATTAAATGTATTAACGCGTGGTCAACCTTGTTTTCCGAAGTCTTCCCCTATAGCAGTGTTCTTTTAACTCTTTATCTCCATCCACAGTTGTTACATCCGGAAGTGGCCCCTCATTGGTGGTCTCTTGGTCCCAATGGCTATCATCCTCATCATCAATATCGCTGTGTTCATCTTGGCAATGCGTCGTCTGCAAAATTCTGCACGATTTGAAGGACGTGTGAAGAAGGACTGCAAGACCGAACGACAAGAGACCCTAGAACGGATCCAGAATGGCATCGCCATGTTGCTTCTGCTTGGCTTCACCTGGACAACCGGATACCTGACCCTGATCAACGTGGACTTCACTGGACTCCTTTTCATCATCTTCAACTCCTTGCAAGGCTTCTTCATCTTCGTCCTCTATTGTCTTCGTAAGGCAACCATCAGAAAGCAGTGGCGACGTTGTATTTGCTGTGCATTGTTGCGGGAAGGTGGCAGCGCTGAGTCCACAGGAAATTCTGGACGAACACCACGATCTACGAGTGGAACTGGAGGCTCCCAACCCATGTTTGAATCTTCGTCTGCCATATCTCATACCAATCCATCTTTTGACAACTCAAATAAGATATAAAAACCATCAGGCTCTGAAGATTCATGTGCGAGCGATGTATCTCTTGTCACTTATGTTCATGAAAATGTATGATGAAAAAAAAAGAAAAAAGATGCAGAAACCAATAAATCGAATCAAATCGAATCAAACTAATAGCCAACAAATAATAGTAGACATGAGAGACTTTGATTTAATTAAGGTAATTTCCAAACCCTAATGCATTTCCTATCGAAATTATATACGGATTATGTAATATGGCATATTCGTGTTCCTACATTTCAATGTGTAACGCCCATGTGTATTGAAATTGCCCGAAGTTGATTTGTTTAAAGTCCTAGCGATCGTGCTGTACATAAATGAAACCCTCTGGAAATTTATAAAAACGCTTTGTAATTTTATATTTGCTCTTGATGGTAGGGACTATCTGACTTGTTTGAATTATTATGTATTAATGAGCATTATAGGTTGATACACAATCATGCATGATGTGAGTGTGGGGGTATTTGTTTGAAAGATTAATTGACAGACTTTTATATAAAAATAATCATAATTATGCAATAACGCGAAAGGGTTGTAGAGGGGTAGTCTGTTTTTTATTTTTTATTTTGCTTTATTTGTAAACATTCCACATAACAAGATTGTCTCAATATGCATAAGACTGAAAAAGAGAATACATAAAACAATGTTAGACATCTAACATAGGGAATCGATGATGTGAAATTGTAAGGAACATATTAAATAGCACAGTTTGTAAATTATAGGCTCCCGAAATAAATACAAAATATCGATTTCTGATTTCGATAGCAAAAAATAACGAGGTAATAACAGTTTGAGTCACGGACACATTCGCATTTAGAATAACATGTAGACAAGGTTTGCGGCCACAATTGGTGCTGCAATATGAATATTGTAGATGAGAAGCAATATTAAATATGACTTCTGTGCCCATTACATTTGTGTTATTATTCTGAATTAGAGGTTTCGTTATGGGGTAGACATTCATTTTGAGGCAAATTCAAAACTTGGCTTAATACACGAAAAGATAGGAAACGGTACATTTCATCAAATATCTGTTTCACATAGGCCTATCTTTTTCTTCAGAAAATTTGTCATATGGGCAAAAGTCATGCTCATTTTCTATTTCAATATGCATGAGCTAGTTTCTGCTGATGCACATTCCGACTCCACTTTAACGCCCCAAATACTGTTTCGTTGCTATCTTTTTGACAATTGTTTTCAGTTATTGTAAATTCTAAATTGTAATGTGTATTGCAAGACCTATCTGTCCTGAAATACGCCATAGAAGAACTTTTTTTTTTTTTTTAAGTATTTGTTATTTTTTTATCATTATCATTATTGATACTATTAATATCATTATTATTATCATTATCATTATTATTGTTTTTCTCAATTATTACTTTTTAAAAATACTTAATGCTCCATAGTTGTATTGGCCATGCCAGCTTGTTAGACTTAGAATAGATTGAATATTCCCTTGTTATGTCTAGTGATTTGTTGAGTATAGGAGTTTCCGTACAAACCGATATCAACGTGCACATTGCTGTAAATAAAATAAATACAATGATTTTGTCTTTTGACCATCAATGTTCATATCATACACAGAATCTATAATATTTCCGCTGAGCAGCTCAGTAAATCTATATACATTGTAGACTTTGGATGATTAGACGTTGAGTACTAGTAAAATAAAATAAAGATAAAGATAATTTGTATAAAATAATAAAACCCATCGCGACGATGGTTGATACGTTTTCGTGAAGGTTATGTAATCATTTTTCATTTATGCACTGGCGGTACATTTTATGATAAACAGGTGGAAGTATTATTTTTCAAGAAGGAAAATAAAGAAGGTGTTCAAGAAGCACCTAAATGTAAATACAATGCACGTCTACGCTCTGGAAATTTCTAGGGCCATCCTGTCAAATAGTTTTTGTGTTTTATATTGTTGTTGTTGTTAGATAATGTTTTAATGAAATTTAGTCAATTTATGCCTATCCCATATGCTTTTCCCCTGTCTTTTGTATTACTGTATTTTGATATGTTTAGCTTGGCAAATAAAAACAATACCAAAATCAACTTATATCAACCTCTATCACTTTAGCAATGATTATTCTCACATGCACACAGTGGGACGTAGGTAAGTCTCCATGTATCAAAGATCTGTTTAATATTTTGGGGTCATCTTGTTCAAGTGCTATCCCCAAAATAATATCATCATAATATACCATTTTCATAGTGTAACCAAATTTAATGCATGCACCTCTGTGATGTGCCTCGATAAGAATAATGTCATTAATCTATTGTAATTTTTGTATGAATTGTTACTTTTTATATTCCTTCTACTCTACCCTCTAACATGCAAAAAATCATTAACAAATTCTCAAACCACAAAGATATTTATGGTTTTCTTTGAAGGTGCCACTATGCGACACTTTCTAACAGTAAATTTTCCCAACCATTTTTGAATTTTCCCAACCGTTTTTCTATGAAAATAAGACAGGCTTTAACAAATCTGTCAAGGCTTAAATGTCTTGAATGGTATATACAGTGCGTCCCAGAAAAAAACGAAACCGAGAAGTATCGATGTTCTATCATAACTTAATCACAACTATAATTAATAAATGATACATATTTGGAAAGCTTAGAGGCTCCTCTTTCATGTGATGCTACTCAGATAATGCATATTTCACGCATGAGTGATTAAATGCAATTTGAAGGAAGGAAACCAAAAAGACATTTGGCGGGCGGTATCTGAATTTCGAAGAAAAAAAAATCACATTTCTAGAAAGTTGAGTTTCTGCCCTTTCATATGACACCTCAATCAGGAAAAATGAGGGAGGAATGACAAAGTTCTGTTTGTTTAAAGTAGTGCTTGCATTTCCATAATTGTATTAAACGAATTCGTTTTCACTGGCTGCCTGCCGTATCAATAAACGAAATTAACAAAAGACTTAACTCCGTTTCGTTGACAATCAGCCGTAGACGAGAGTCTTCATGCATGGCTGATTGTCAACGAAACGGAGTTAAGTCTTTTGTCAAATCTGCTTTTTGCTACGGCAGGCACCCAGTGAAAACGAATTCGTTTGTTAAAATTATGAAAGTGTAAGGGCTACTTTAAAGGTATTACAAAGTTTTGGGAATATTTCATCAGGATTGGATCATGAAATTTAAAATTTGCATTACTATTGTGAAACATAGTGTTAGAACACCCAACTCTAAAAAAATTGGGCTCTAAAAAGCTTTTGATTTGGAGTAATTAAAATTTTAAAAAATAAAAAAATTTACCGGTACTCCCGGTAAATTTGGTATAGCTCCCTCTCAGTTCGAAAATTTACATGTCATCTGAACAGCATAACACATATATAGCACTATTGTCAAAGTGTAGTAATTAACATGTTTTGACACCAAATCATATTACCAGACTTAAACAATATATATAATCATAAAGATAATTATTTTAAAGTCGAGTTGCCTTAGTGTAAGATTTTTATACTGTCTCCCAAATTTGAAGAAAAAAAACACTTGTCTGTACACTGTAATCGCTATATAAATTTTTATAATCGATCGGACCGCCGCCATCTTATTGTACTTACGTACGTTAGTCTATGTATTTCCTGTGCGGGCCGGAATATTCTGTGTTGTTCTCTTCAACTCATTTTTCCATTTCCCTCTCTTAATCGTTTCTGTGTTTTCAACTTTGAAATGCATTTGTTATGGCTCGACTTTGATAATATTGTTGTTCGTCAGCTCTGTGAACGAACGCACACATTGCCTGTATTTTGGTCAAGTCAGTCAAGTGGTCGTGGTGACATGATCTGGCATCCCTGTGCATGTATTAGGCCTACGTATAGTACATGTTACGTGTGTACGTGTATTAGTCTATGTGCCGGATTGGCCCGAAGAATTTCCTAGCACATTTTTTTTTAGGGATGATCTCAAAATACTCCCCAAAGTCGTTGTACAGGGACAGTTTGGGTAATCATTTATAGAGAGAACGTAACATTATTTATTTTGCATTTCTTTATTAAAAATAAGGAAGATACGTTTAATCTTACAAACGAAGATTAATCAATAATAAGGTTGACTTGACGTTTTCCCGAACAGTCGATCATGTGTATACTGCACATTCTTATTTTTAGATCATCCCTTAGTTTACGAGTACGTTTTGTTTATCCTGCTAAATGACCTCTGGTAGAGGTCAGTAATTGCTACACGTGTTTGGGCTATGGTTTGGGCTAATCTCTCTCTTTCCGTATAATTGAATTATATCCTTCGCCCCCCAACCAGGTCCATGTTATAATAACCAAGGAGTTACTACATGTAGTAACTCCTTGTTATAACACTCTCCCTTGAAATTCTCTCTCTCACTCTCTCTGTCGCTTCTATATCACTCTCATCTCCCCCTCTCTCTTTTGTATCTCTCTTTTGTATCCCTCTCTATCCCTTCTCTCCTTTCTCTCTCTCTCTCTCTTCTCTCTCTCGCTATCTTTATTTCTCCCATTTTCTTTCCCTCTCTCTTTATTTCTCTACCCCATACCATTCTCTTTTGATGTATATTGTATATATCTGTCTGAGTGTCTCTCTCTCTCCCTCTCATCGCATCACCTCGTTCATCCCCTTCTGTATCATATTTCTATATCCATATCACTTGTTAGTCTCTCTCTCTGTCGGTCTGTGTCCGTCTGTCTGATGACTGTCTCTCTCTCACTTACTATCACCATAGTAGGTCAATGATATCAACCCTTCATCTTTCTTTCGCCCCAACTTTCTCTCTCTCTCTCTAGAAGTTCTCATTCGCGTGATATAGGACCATATTATTTTTGTTTAGGGTTATAGATGAGGATGATATAGATATATGACAAAGATAATAATAATCACAATAACGAGAGAAGTTCTCATTCACGTGATAGGACAGTAATTTTTGGTTGGAGTTTATGACAACAATAATAATAATCACAAAGACGATATAAGAGTTCTCATTTGCGTGATAGGACCATATTTCTTTTGACGGGGTTATGTAAATGAGGCTGATGTAAATATATGACAAGAATAATAATAATCACAAAGACGATAGAAGTCCTCATTCGCGTGATAGGACCATATTTCTTTTGTCGGGGTTATGTAAATGAGGGTGATATAAATATATGACAAAGATAATAATTATCACAAATGCGAGAGAACTTCTTATTCACGTGATAGGACAGTAGTTTTTGGTTGGATTTTATGACAAGGATAATACTAATCATAAAGACGATAGAAGTTCTCATTCGCGTGATAGGACAGTATAGTTTTTGGTTGGAGTTTATGACAAGGATAATAATAATCACAAAGACGATAGAAGTTCTCATTCGATCGATAGGATCATATTTCTTTTGTCGGGGTTATGTAAATGAGGGTGATATAAATATATTACAAATATAATAATTATCACAAATGCGAGAGAACTTATTATTCACGTGATAGGACAGTAGTTTTTGGTTGGATTTTATGACAAAGATAATACTTATCATAAAGACGATAGAAGTTCTCATTCATGTGATAGGACCATATTTCTTTTGTCGGGGTTATGTAAATGAGGGTGATATAAATATTTGACAAGAATAATAATAATCACAAAGAAGATAGAAGTTCTCATTCACGTGATAGGACTGTAGTTTTTGGTTGGATTTTATGACAAGGATAATACTAATCATAAAGACGATAGAAGTTCTAATTCGCGTGATAGGACAGTATAGTTTTTGGTTGGAGTTTATGACAAGGATAGTAATAATCACAAAGACGATAGAAGTTCTCATTCGATCGATAGGACCATATTTCTTTTGTCGGGGTTATGTAAATGAGGGTGATATAAATCTATGACAAAGATAATAATTATCACGAATGCGAGGGAACTTATTATTCACGTGATAGGACAGTATAGTTTTTGGTTGGAGTTTATGACAAGGATAATAATAATCACAAAGACGATATAGTTCTCATTCGCGTGATAGGACCATATTTCTTTTGTCGGGGTTATGTAAATGAGGGTGATATAAAAATATTACAAAGATAATAATTATCACGAATGCGAGAGAACTTATCATTCACGTGATAGGACACTAGTTTTTGGTTGGAGTTTATGACAAGGATACTAATAATCACAAAGACGATAGAAGTTCTCATTCGATCGATAGGACCATATTTCTTTTGTCGGGGTTCTGTAAATGAGGGTGATATAAATATATTACAAGAATAATAATAATCACAAAGACGATAGAAGTTCTCATTCACG